CCTGCCCAACGTCCTGAGGATTCTCTACATCAGCGGCATCATCGTCTTTCATTTCAACAGACTCTGCCACTGCCCCAGCAGCGTCTTTCAAGGATGCCCTGCCGCTGACCTCCTGCCCCGTGAATCCCGTACTTCCTCCTTTTCCGGTGTCTCCTTCGAAGATATCCTTTTCCATGCCTATCTGCGACCCTCGAAACCTCTGGCGTCTGAAATCCCATTCACTTGACTCAGTAGTAGACGAAGCCTCCGCTTTATCTTTCTCCTGCCTTATCACTTCCTTCTGACCTCCGTACATATTGCCGTCTCCTGAGTCTCGCAGTGGCTTAATTCCAAAGGCCCGCGACCTTGACGATCCCATTTCTGGCTCCAAGGCCGGTATATCTTCTCTTTCAATAGGCTGGTTATCTGTTATTTCAGTTACTTATTAACATGAGGAGTAAAATGAAGGGCCACGACATTGGATAGTAACTTAAAATAAAATGAATGATAGCTGCCGACAAATTGACCTACCACTTTCGACACCGCTTCCCAAAAAGGGGCTTTCGATTCCGCCCACATCCCTTTCATTCTGCGAGACTTCTCTGGGAGAACTTTTTCCTATGCCTAGCGCCTGAGGAGTTGCTGACGGCGTGGATCGGTTCGACGGTAGGATGGTTGGCGGAGGCCTAATTACGTCCGAGGCTACAGGTTGGTCGATGCATACGGTAGCATGGTAGCATTCAGTGAGGCCGTACACAGGGTCCGCTTTTTGTTGATTTCCAGGTACTACGAGTGTGCATGGAATTGTCAGAAGCCTTGTAGCGGAAGGTTGCCCTCTGACGACGAACGGACACCCAAGGAAGGCAGCCGCCAAAGCCCAACCACATGCGCACTTTCTCCTTGGAATTTTGGGACGGTAAAACACGTTTCTTGACATTTATACCTTATATGATTTATGATCGGACAGTTTTGAGTTTATTTCATGTTTAATTTTACAGTTATTCCGCCGGAAGGAAATAAAATGACAGGCCCACCCAGCCAGGTCATCTCAAAATTTAAACATTTGAAAAATGCCGACTTCAACTTGATAGCCTCCTCGTAGAGATATCCATTACCGAGCCGCGGGGAATTACCACCAGAAGCGATTACGCAGCGGTATAAATCGAGGAATAAAGCACAGGTGCTTCTAATATCTCTTTTCTTTCCGTGAGTATACTCTCTTTTCTCGGTCACGGGCCCTCGCTAGCTTCCTCCAGAACAAAATGAACGCGGACCGCCCTATCGCCTTGGACGGAAGGTGATTTATATAGATATAAAAACAGAAGATGTAATGTGAAGCCCCTGTCTATTTACTGGCACATATCATCCCCACGATGCAGGATGGCACTCCGGCATGCGCGTTCACAAGAGAACCGCACAGCTGCGTCCTACTATACCTCGTTTAACAACATTTGGCGAATCCAAAGAACACAATGACATGCATCATAAAAGTTAGACTAGGGCTGCGACCGCATTATCATTACAAGATCGGATACGAATTAATAATCTTGCCAAAAATCATACACCCCTTTACCACGCGTTTGGTAGAAACGAAAAACGTCTATTCAATATTCCTAACCTAAGAATGTGATTTTCTCACACCTCACATAGCAACTATCGAGCGGTTAAGACTCGATGGAATTCTTACATGTGATACCTCCTGCTTGTCAGCCGTATAAGATTTCAGGGGTACACAGCGTTAAATGTAGATCTTTTAATACAAAGGCACCAAAATAAATTCCCATTTTAGCATCGTATCTGACGGCAGAACAGTAGCAAGTTCGAGCTAATGCATTCCACAAATTGAATTAGACTAAAAATGCTCAGAATTACAACAACCAAGTCATCATTCATAGAAAGTGATATTTTTGTCCCCAAAGCCGTGCGCTTACCGCATGTGTCTCGAATCATGTAAAGGAGTACAGGGCACGTATCTCTCTGATCTCATTAAGTCACTTGGCGGAAGGCATGTCGCTGAGGAGCTTGCACTCCCGCTGCTTGATTCTCTATGCTCAAGATCGCCTTTACCATCGGTCGTTCAAATAATTATTGAAGCTATAATCTGAAGACATGAGCCGTTCTTGGATGTTCCCTCTATTCACAGTTTGTGCCGACGTTTATTCTTACTCAAAAGTAATCATCTCAACGGAAAAACCATTCTTTTCATGTAATTGTTTTTATTGAACGATTACATGATCAATGCACAGGTAAAGATCCTTGCGTTGTGCCTTCTGTGACACTTCTTCGAACAATTTCGCGTTCCATTCGGGCAAGTTGAGAGAGGCATGTAATTACGCGAAATCCCATCTTTCGAAGCTGAGAAATCCGAAAGTGCGCTCACTAACATCACTATTATCACAAACGTGGCGTATAGGCAGCGGAACATTTCGGGAACTCACATGTGGGAGGATGACCGCAAGCGTACCTCGCGATGTAACGTCGGCAAGCTTCGTAAATTCCTGTTGGGGTGGATATTGGCAGTACAGATGAAGTTCTCTATGCACGACGCAAATTCTTCCTACGCATTTCTACGTACGGCTATATGATAAAATAATTGTGTGTTTCCATTCAGAAAAGGACTCAAGGGTGGGTGGGTCAAATACTGGGGCCAAGTCTCTGCTAGCTAGGCTCCTGAATTCACCAGCGGTATATTTTGCCGTCACGGCGGACATCAAAGCCTCACGTACGAAACTCGACGATACATTGAATACCGACGAATCATGACAGTGATTGCTGGTGAAATTGGGAATTAATATTTCTATCCAATGAAATTAAGCAATAGAGTAAGATTGAGAAAAATCAAGGTACAAGAATTGGAAAGAGACGGGAAACGTCATTTTGCCCGTTCCATCCACCATATATGGCATAAGTACCACATATCCTATCGAAATTGAGCGCAAAAGACCCAACGTCAACTCTGTAAGTAGTAAGGGTAACTGTCCAGTCAATTAAACGCTGGTTTCACTGCCTCCCACACTGTGCTGAAAAAGGTCCGACGGCCTCGAAAGCCCCGAGCTTATCGGTTTGAGAGGGAGCGAGGGCTGTTCGGACAACGGATTGCGTGAGGACAACCGCAGATCCATGCCACTCCATCACGATGCCTCGGCAGGAGGCGTCTTCAAAGTGGGAAATGTAGGAAATAAGCACAACGTTATTGACGCCATCTCAATGTTCCCTCTTTGTTCTTCATATCCTGTTACCGTCCTGTATCATCCACGCAGATACTTAGTCATGTTGGTCGCCGGCTACGATAACTACACATGATAATTCCCGTTGCGCTGCCGCTGCCCGCCGCTAGTTGCCACTTCTTACCGAGCTGGTTGTCTTCAATCCGGTCGTTGCCTCTGTCCGACTGATAAATAATTTTGTCATCACTGGTGGTAGCATCATGGCGTTCGACTTGATAAACAGGGGATGTGTCTCGAGCTCGTACGAGTACATGATGAAGATAGTCTACGTCGGAATATCCTCATTTTCCATCTCTTGTTCCCTGCTCATCCTTGTGCGCATGTGGTGGCGGCATCACCGTAAAAAATTTGCCACCGCCATAGGTCGTTTGGTCGAGCGGTTAGTGGTAATCGGAGCCTTCCTCGATGTTACTTTTCACGCTGTTGACGTCCTCTTCGCTCTGGACTGCAGTGCTCCTCCCTTACTATTCTTACTGTCAGCATATAAAGAAAATATTCACGCGGCGGTAGGTAGGGGGCTACGGGGAAGACGCAGTCCTGCTTTCCTTTCACGCGAATCTTGTGCCTTCTTGTCATCTTACTGTATAACATGTCCCTTCCCCGTGCCATTGCAAATTAGGCGACCATTACCTTCAACATCATCAAAGAAGGGTTTGGATTGTTGTCTTTGAGCTGGCATGCTCATTTAGCGTACTGCCTCTACAGTTGGATCGTCTTGAAACGCTCTGCCGGGCGATTACAACGTCACCGACTACCTTTTATGATGTTGATCATGGCTATCATCACAGGAATTCGACTTACCCTGTACAAGGAGCTACGAAAGGGTCTATTGGGTCTTTACTTATCTGCGATCATTTATGATGTGATACTGCTACCTGGGATAATCGCCGCCATGCTGCGATGGTACTTCTTAACTATCTCTGTCTTGCGTGCTGGTGACCGGGAGCAGCGGCAGCAGCGAGAGCAGCAGGAGCGAGAGCAGCGAGGAGAAGCGAACCTTGCCGATACAGGCGAGCATGTGGTGGTTGATATGGCCGGAGTTGCTGTCAGAGAAAACGGCCTTGACCGCACGAGTGTGTCGTCGTCTGTCTCGTCAGCTCAAGGATCCACCCGTCCAAGGCTGTCGCACCGATCCGAAGGCAATGAAGATTCGCGCGCACAGGGAATGCAACGTAGAAAATCTTCTTTCCACTTTTCATCCTGGTGGCCTTCAATCAATGGACCTTCCGGATGTAAGGAGAGTCAGAGCCGAAGCCATGTCGTCAGTGGAGACAGTGGGAACGTAAGTCAGACCTTTCGACCCCCACGAGCCGATTCGCTTTCGCCACCTTCGAACTTTGCGGATGGACAAACGATCTCGCGTGCACCCATGGAAGTGGAGCCTGTCCCGACTGCGACTTTACATGAGATGGGGGCCACGCGACGGGAGCGAGTACGGAACAGCAGCACCATCCGCCGACTGCTTCGCATCTCTTTGACCGTTGCCTGCCTCTGGACTTGTATCGCCGTGGTGGATATTCTCATCTGGGTACGTTTCTACTTAGGTGAGAATACGATTCGGATGAAGACTCCTTTCTTGATCCGCATGGTGCTCATGCGGGCTGTGGGAGCCGTGGACGCCGTCATCCTCGGGGACCTCTTCATTCTCTGCCTCCCCTGTGCCCGCATTCTGTCGCGCGTGGTCAACAGACTCCGCCGGTCCGATCTTTCTTATGTGCCAGGAGGTAGAGCCAGTGTTGGCAACGTCGCGGGTCCTAGTTCCGTCATGTCCGTCTCCAAAATGCGCGCCAGCATGGTCGGGGACGGGGGCAGAGGTCTTCTCAAAAATGCCAACATGCTCCAGAAAGAGGAAGAGGCATCCCGAACAGAGCGGAAACTGGACGCGATAAATTCGGTTCGGGCTCCTAATCGGCAAATGAAAAACGTGGACTTCTTCGCCACCACCTGGAATATGGGCGGGGTGGACCTGGAAGCCCTCGAGGCAGGGCATTTCCGCGAGGCATTGCTTCCTCAGTGGTTGCCCCCCAGCTTTTCTCTCTACGTACTGGGTGTGCAGGAGTGTCAATGCCTCCGACAATTTCGAGCGGACGTCCACTCGCATTTGGGTGGACCGGAAGCCTTTGTCATGTTCGGGGACGAACTAGGAGATGATCAATTTTTGCATGGTTTCATCGCGATTACCCTCTTTGTCCGAGCAGATGATGTCGCCACTGGCGCCTTCCATCTTCACAAAGGCGCCGTGAACAAGGTTGCTGCTGGGGTTTCTCTGGGCGCTCTGGGTCATGCGCCTAATAAAGGGATGGTTGGACTTTCCTGCCGGTATTACGATGTCTCGCTCGCCTTCGTCACTGCTCACTTTGCAAGTGACTCGAAGGGCCGAAACCGCGTCTCAAAAAGGAACCAGCACGCGCGGACTACCCTGCAGGCTTTATCGCTCCACAATGACTCGGATGATTTCGAGGTTCACCACCAGCATCACCATCAAATCTGTTTGGGGGACTTTAACTACCGTCTCTCTCCGGCCACACCGACGGAAGTAGTGCAGCTCGTGGCCCGCTCTGCACAAATATCGCAAGAAATCGTCGCGAATGAGGCGTCCGAATCAAATGCAAACCCCACTTCAGAAAACTGGCGAAAACTCAGCTATAAACACTTCTTTGAGCGGCCCACGGGTTTAACATTCAGCCTTGGCAGCATTCCCGAGTTGCCTCCATGTTTGGGCACACGATATTCGTCCAACTCCTCGCAAAATGTTAGTCAACCCTCATACGGTACCAGCGGACTTGGTTTGCCCAATTCGACCTCCAGCAAAAGCTACCTGGGCGGGAAATTGCCGCACCTCTTTCTTGCTAGAAGTGGCAGCAATGCAGCCAAAGATGAGTTGAATCGGCCGCCTGAGGCGCATGGGATAGGTGCTGGTTTCAGCAACGTTTTGAGGCGCCGTCCATCCATGGAATTGGACATGTCCTCTCCACACTCGCGCTTTGGGCGGCAGGAGTCCAGTAACCCAGTGTATGGCATTGGAAGTATTACTGATGGCGAAGGGCCACAGCAACAAATTTCCGGCTCGCCTTCCCTCCGGAAAAACGTGAAACCTTCGATCGTAAACAGCTCAAGTACCCAAAGCATTGAGGATTTGGGTGTCGATATGGCATGGAACTGGGTGGGATGCTTTGACGAGCTAAGCCGGAGTATGCGAGGACGGGTGGTTTTCTACAATTTTACCGAGGCGCCTATAACCTTTCCACCGTCGTACCGGTGGAACCGTTCGATTCACGGCTTTGACCTTGCTGGCGATTACACAGACGTCGAGCAGCTAATGCACGCGTACAGCACATTCGTGGCGGACCATCCCAAGCTCATCAGCCGGCTTACCAAATCTTTCGTATCCCACAACGAAAGAGGAAACGGCACAGTGTCACCACTTAGCACCTTACCCCGTTCCCTCTCCTCCTCGACGAAGAGGAAGGGTGTTTCCCTACGGACACCTTCTTACACCGACCGGATCCTGACTCACTCTATGCCTGGTAAGGGCGCTAATCTTCGGTGGCGCCACTATGATATGATGGATGCCGTGCCGTTGTCCGACCATCGACCTGTTTGTGCGCATTTTACGCTCTTCGTGGACGCGAATTGTCGAGGTTTCCAAACGTTCTCGACACCACCGCACTCGGTTGTTCCACCGGAAGGCAAATTTTCTCAGGTCGATGAGCCTCTGGCCATGCAAACTGCAAACAAAGAAGAGCTAGCGCTCTTTACAGTCGTGCTGTCGCATCCTCACGTCACGCTGAAAGGTGGGTCGAACATTCTTTCAAATCTGAGTGCTGCCACGATACCGCATGAGGCGACGATCCTATTTCCACTCGTTTCAGAAGACCCCTTGGCTGCAGAGCGTCTAGCGTCATCCCTGGGAGAGGTAATACCTGGTGGAACATCGCACGGGCAATCATCATTTAGCTCTTTAAGCCACCATGAATGGTCGTCATTTCCAGTCCGGCTCAAGACCCTCGCCTCCCCGAGGTTCAGCGAGCATTTGCTTCTCAAAGTGTCGAATGATCGCGGCAAAGAAATCGGTCAGACCATCATTCCCTTGGCTCTAGGCATCTCTTCGAAGGAAGTTCCGCAAGAAACACATCTTTACCCTTCTTCGTATGCCAATTCTTCTTTATGTAGTTTCCGAGTTGATGAAATTGTGCAGGGACTTCATGGAAACGAGGATAACCGACGATTTTCATTACCTCTTACCAAGGGCGGATCTTTGAGAGGCTGGATCACTTTGACGCTCAGAACTAAGATCAAACCAATAGGGCAACAGCACCGCTCACAGCCATAATTATCTCCACGACAGCTTGGAAGGTCGTTGCTACCATGCGCAGGGGCTTGTGAATTCATGTATTGTAAACCTAGAGGAAGGGTTGAATTAGTCCGTACAGAGTAGACGCGTGTGAGAACTGCCTGCGATAAATCAATAGCAACAAATGTGAAACTATATTTGTAAGGCGGAACCCCCAAATTTTACATTGAATTTCAGCTTTCTCAAAGGAAATAATTCCGGATGTACGCTCGAGTTGGTGGGAACAAAGGACTCTGGTCTTGGCTTTGTTGACATTAAAAAAATACACGGTCACTCTCTTTTTACTTTCTCTTCACTTTTGAATGGATTCTACAGGCAGCATCTATTCACTCTCTCGTTGTAGCGCTTGCATGTAGCACATGGCGAAGGACGGTGTCCCGTCCGGACGTCGTAACCAATATCCTGCCAGCGTCTCTGTCCAGGGTCCTGCCATCTCCCCTTCTGTCTCTTCTGTCGACACCTTTCCATCATATCCAGCCCAGAGCAAAGCAATAGGCACGTTGGCCATCACAGCCCCCTTAGTCATACCAGGAATCACTATCTTGGCGCGTTCAGGCATACCACTGAGGCCTGCATCCGGCTCGCCAATCTCGGCCAGATAGACCCTTATCTCATCAGCGGCGGGGTCTGGAAATCGTAATCCATCCAGGGAGTAGTTTGTGGAAGAGAACCGTACTGCTCTATTCAGGCTCGCCACGCCAGACGCCATCGATGACGCAGGGTCGACGCTACGGCTTGTCTCGTATGCTGACCAGCCCACGAGATCCGTGGTGATGATAGGCAGGATCCGGTCGACCGCCCAACCTGTTGTTTCCCCGTGTGTCTTGGCCAGGATTCCTCGGTCTACTTGCACGGCATGGTAAATCGCAACAGAAGACGCAGGTTCACCCACGTCGTCCCTGCCAGCCTCCACGCCCGCTTGACGCGCCTTCAGCCAGGTGGCGGCGCGCGACGCCAAAGCGGGGGGGATTTCCTTTTGGTCATCGTCGCTCAAAAAGTGGTCGAGAGACCAGGCCTGAAGTATGAAAGTTTTCCCAGAGCCTTTATAGGTCTCAGCCAAATACGAAGTGAGCTCACGGAATTCCTCCGTTTCCTTCGCGGCATCCGCAGCGGAATAGGTGTCGAATCGAAGTTTCAAGTTCAGACCAACGGTCGACACTGCCTTCGCGTTGATGACATATGTTTTGATTGCCGGGTTGGCGAAGAGGGACTCATAATAGGGCAACTTGGCTAGTTCTGTGAGGGAACTTGGCGATCCCATGGGCCAAGCAGGTGCATTGAATGGGTAGAGGAGAGAAGGGGGCATCTCTCCGCCCATGTAAATTCCTATACTTTCAGCCCCAGCCTCCCTCGCCAGAGCGGCACCTTCAGCGAGATAGTCTTTGCTTGGGTCCAGTGAGTAGGATCCGCCCCAAAAAGTGATTCCCAGGGGCTTCATTTTCCCAAGGGCCACGCGCAGGTCAGCGAGGAGGCTCTGAGGGACCTGGGCCAAGTGATGAGCACAGTCGCCCATGAAGGCCGGATACCCCGAAAAGCGGAGCGCGTGCAATTGCTCGGACATGGAGTTTGAGTTGTGGTTCATGTAGAAAAGCGAAGACGGGAATGCGGCGGCGTCCACCTCCCGGAAAACCGACGCCACAGTACCCACCACTCCCCCAGAGAATGTTGGTTTGGCAGCCTCCACCTCCACGTCAATGTAGTACACGTCCAGACTTTTCGCGGGGAAGCTGCCTGCGGCCTCGTTCATCACGGGCCTCCTTGCTGAAGAGAGGTCCTCCCCGTTGTCCAATGCACTCCACGCCCCATCCCAAACCGTGGCAATCGTAAGATTATTATGGGGGAAGTAAGGCAAGATGCCCACGGCCCATCGATTGAGATTGAGCGAGACAATATATTCGACCCCTGCTTCCAGCTCGACAGGCGTTGCCAAACTAGCCAGACACCACCCTTCTTTTCCCGCCTTTTCCACAGGAAATACAATGGTGGCGAGCGCCACGCCTTGCGGAGTCCACAGCGTGGCCGTATGTTCACCCGTCTCTCCAGACGCGCGGTAGAAGCGCACGCCGGTAAAGAAAGATGAACGCCCCACCGCAAATGGTGTTCCCACCTCTACAGGGAAGTCAAGCTGAACAGGGGTCAAGAACCCTCGGGTGCTCATACTGTCGAAGAAGCGTTGTGTCCGGATTCCAGGGCAATCCTCTTCCCCATCGCGGACCCCCATCCGGTGCCAGACCTGTCCTTGTCGGTCCATTACCACCAGCTGCTGCAGACCCTCATCCATCACGTACGCCAGGCCACGGAACGAGTCGACACTGATCACGGAAGGGGTCTCCAGGAAGCCCTCCTCCCCGCCCAGGGTGGACAGGTGCACACCATCTCGCGTGAAAAGTTCTACGGTGCTCGTACCTTGATCCAGAACCCACAATATTGCCTGCACATCCAAACCAGTTCCCGTAAAAGAAATCGCTATATCGACAGGCATATCCAAGCACTTCTCCTCGATGTTCAGGCCCTCTTCCCCCTTCCCTTTACCCCCTTTCGCCTCTCCGAGCACAGACCAACAACCTGCCAGGCGCACCGTCTCATTTGTCGCAGTGTTGAAGCCCATAACACCGTCATACTCAGTGAGGACGTACACCTCGGTCTCGTTCCCCTTCCCTGCGAAAGGAAAGACGGCCAGACCTCGAGATCCTTCCACAGGGCCCCAAGCGCCCAGTACTTCCCCTGTCCTGCTGAACCCTTTGATCATCATCTCATCCACCACGTACACCTCGCCATTCGAGCCCATCGCCACCGCTTCCGGTGCTACCAATGTGGCCAAGGGCCATCCGAGCGACGGGAGACCTTTCTGCTGTCCCTCTGTCAATACAATACGAGACAAAGTCGCATTTCCGTCTGCGTTTTCCCATGCCACATACATCATCTCGCCCACCGCGTCCACAGCCATGTCCCTAAATTTAACGCTCACATTGCCCAAATCCAGCTGCAGAGCCGTGCGGACGGCCGCGCTGCACATACCTGTCGCTGGACTCATCTCGGGAAGGGACGTGGTACGATAATGGGGAGCTTCTTCTCGATCGGGGAATTTGTCGGGGCAACCTCCATGGGAAAGGCCAGCAAAATTGACTCGAAAAGCCGTGCGGAAATCGGCCTGAGCATCTGCCAACACCGCAAACGACAAAATATTCGTCCCGTGCCGCCACAGGGTTTCAGGTTCCAAATCCTCTCCCTCGTCCTCCCAATCGTCCTCAATGGTGAACAAGGTGCTTGTGTCCCGTCCGGCCTGCTCCTCCATGGCCGCTCCGGCGGAAGAAAAAGGGTCGGGATTTACCCACACAGGCCTTTTATTCAAGTACACGGCTAACACTGTCAGCATACTTTCATGGCGCCCCACGACGCTCACATCCTCTAATATCGCGTCGGGCGCGAGGGTGAAAGTTGTTTCGTAAAACAAGACATTCGCCAAGCTCGGTTTGCTCAAGCTGAGCCAAGCTTTTGGCTCCACCACGGGATCCCAAGGGCCTTGTGCCGCCCCTTTGAGAGCACGAAACCAAACCTTCCAGGCGGATGCGTTGTCGGTGGGTTGCAAACTCGGGATTCCACACCCGGTCTCTTCCTCTTCTTCCTCTAGAGGCGTGGTAAAGCTGCCATCGTCCACCACGTACAAGGTTGGGGTAGCCAAAGATTGCGGCACCGCTTCAAATGCTGGTTTTATTCCCTCCACGACCTTTTCCGTGAGCGCCCGCAATGGCTCACCCAAGGCGTCTCTTCCACACGCCGTCCCTACCGCTTCGTAGGTGGCGACAGGGAACCAGACATTCAGTAGAGCCGGCTTACCGGGACCGCTCGGGAGCACTACCAAAGAAAGTCTGTTCGTTCGCTCCTTCAATTTTGGCAGGGTGATACTGGCGGCGAGGGTGCCGGGGGCGAGGCCCATGACGGGGTCTTCGCATGTCCATATGTTCACGTCGTTCAACAGGAGCGCAACGACAGCCGCGTCCGCTGCGAAGGCCACCTCGATCCGAGCTGATTTTACATCCGCCTCAGCTGGGAGCGTAAAGCTTTGGTGAAATCGGTAAATGGATGCGGTTGCAGAGAAGCCAGCGATCCACTGGCTGGTCGATAGACTGAGACTACCGCCACCGCCGGGCTTTTTTTCAGGCTCAGAAATCAAATCCTTGGATGGGGCGTCCTCTTTGGCGACCACCATAGGTGCTACATCCAGGGCTTTAGGTGGCTTACCAGGCTCCAACGCTTTCCAGTGCAAATCAGCCATTTGCTCCCCGGCAGCTTTTCCTGCTGCATCCGCGCCGGTTGGAAATAGAACGCTGTGCAAAGAGCAGAGTGTCCGGGATGCCGTAATCGTCTCGGCGAATGCGTACTGCACGGTCGTTGTAAATATTAAGACCCTCAGAAGAAATTCGACACTCCCGCGATCAATACACGCCATGATTCAACGTGTTATCGAAGGCCAGGGTAATCGAATGTCGAAGTGAACGGGCGCGATTTCTTTACTTTCAACCCGGGAAAGACCTGATGACTCCTGACACGGGTATATGGGCGAAAGACATAATAGGAGGTAAGAAATGGATTGTAAAGGAGACATACTCATGGCTTTGATGCCTGGTATTCGAGCACGGGGCAACTTATATGGCACATAGGTCTTAGGCTCGCGAGAGGGCCCATATCCGATTGTCCTTCACAATGCGTGGATGCTGATAGGAATTTATGTACGACACACAGCAGTTAACTTTGAAATTGTTGTCCTTCCAGCCGGATCAGAACTATCAACAACATCGAGTTTGGCCATCAAAGATGTTGCTGTTTGGCTTCAACTCCTTTCTAGGTTTATCTTGCTGCAGTTGGAGTGCGCTGTTGGCGAGGAGCGACGTCGCGAGCCCAGCCACACGGAGCGAGAAAACCTTTTTCTTCTGTGACGTAGCAAAAATCCTAACCCTATCAGGGGAGTCCTTATACATGGTTTTAATCTCAACACAGTAACCCGTCAAGTATCAGGACGGACAGGGACAGGCATGCCGGTCTCATGCGTCCTGAGGCGGCTCGGAGGCACCCGGCGGACTGCCACTACCACATCCGCATTCAGCCA